GCATTCATTGTACTGGGAAGGGGGAAAAAAGATTGATCCTGACCAGAAATAAAGAGGCTAATTCCATTCAATAAAAGCTTGACAACTTGCTAATGATTAAACTACTTCACATATGTGGTAAGATTATGTATTCTGAAATAGATGTATTTATCTGTCTTGATCAGATAGCTCCTGTTTCCATTGCTGCTAACAGTGAAGCACAGTCTCAGATATTACCCAGAGAAAAAGCTCTGGAATATGTCCTGGGTGGGTCCTGCTGGGTTTCCAAGCAGCCAGGTACATGGATCTGCTTTTTATGGATGGCAAGGTACAGGCTGGTGGCACTGAGGAGAAATTAGTGGTGTTCACCTGGGTTTTGACCTACTATGGAACTGGAACAAGGGCAAGTTGTGGGTCAGATGTCTCTCATGTGTCAAAAGCTGTGTAATTTATAATTTAGGTTACCACACAGAGACCAGATTCCCCTAGTCTACCATTTAATCCACACTCATAGACCAAATTAAACCCTACAACCTAGAATCCTCACAAAATATGGAACTTATTTTACTTGTTGACCTATCCTCAGTATGTTCATGTTATCAGAGCTGACAAGCCGACAGTTTTCAGGGAAAACAAGTAATTTAGTAACTTCATCTCTCCTAACTCTTCTCACTGCATGAAAAGCAGTGTCCTTTTACAGTTGCTTTGCATTCTCACCCAAAATATGATAGACAATGACAGAGAGGTCACTGGCTCCTGAGTTTTCTGCCACAGCTCCACACGCATCCATCACAACCAGCTGGGGATGTCATTTCCTCTGAAGTTACTCCTGAGGTGACAGTCAATAAAACCTCATGCTGCTACTGGAAAATCCTGCCACAAAACTGCTTAAACACCTGTGTGGGGCCACTGAGCAATAACAATCCCATGCACTGGAAGCAAAATTAAGCAAAGCATATTTGGCCCATTAAGAAAACATATTGCTTGAAATTACAGCGCCCCAGGATGCCTAGATCTTGCTTGTGGTGCTGGCTCCAGAGGAGAGGGCTCCCAGCTCTGTTCAGCAAGGGACATTTACTGACCTGATTTCAGTGGCTGAGAACACTGTCTCTGTCAAGGAAATCTGGCAGAGATGTTTTTGATGGTGAGAAACAGCAACATCCTTGTCCATCAATAAGTTGTAACTGATGCTAAAAAATAAGCAAAGCCACCTGAGGAAGGCAGAAAACCTTGGAAAATCAGTGATGCTGGATCCACCAGGGCTCCTGAGTGCTGCAGGCCCCCAAGACCATTCACATGCAACTGAGAGCAGGGAAACACTGACAACCTCATCTGATTTCCCCAAATTACCTGGACTTCTCTGTCCCACTGGAAACAACCTTGGTGCAGAGCAGCTTTTCCGTGGGTGCTCCCCAATGCATGAGGGAGGACAAGGGACAGCAGGCTGGGGGAGCCATCACAAGGGTCTCACCCAAACTGTGCCAGCTCTGAGGCTGAACAGAGACTGCCTGTCTCCAGCACTATTGATCCTGCACAAGCAGTAAATTCATTTTTAAGGATGCTGAGAGACAGCGAGCAAACCGTACGTGACAGATGTTACTCACGTTGCTTAATGTACTACTCGGAGGTGTTCAGATGCTCTCGTGATGAGGGTGCAAATAAAATCAAGGCAGAGTAGGGTGAAGCAGGCTAAGAAGATTTTTTAGTTTTGGGAAGCTGAAAAAAGGGGGGTTTTAGCTTGAGGAGGGGTAAATTTAATAGTATTTTTCCCTCTGGATCTGACATCATAGATTTTCCCTCTGGATCTGACTTTGAATCAGACTTTTAGAATTCTTTAGAAATTACACTGCAAATTGGAAGACAAACCAAGAATACCTTTTATGTTGAAAATACCAGGAAAAACAGTCCAGTGGCTATTGAGAGAGATGCAGAACTCATCAAGGCCAAATTGTTCAGAATTCTTACAAAAGAGGAAAAAAACCCAAAATAATAAAGCAAGATCTTTCGTACCCTTTCCCCACTTCTCTTTGTGCTGTTTCCAGCACTTCAGTTCACAGTCTCAGTTGCAATCAATTTCAGCTTGTAACAATTCAGCAGTTTAAGATCTCCATAACAGTTTAGACCACCGCTGTTCAATGGGCTGCTCTGCTTTTGGAAAAGCCTGAGTTGTGCTGAGGAGGAGAGTAAGTGCAAAAGGAAGAACCAGGGAGGCAAGCTGCTTCCAATTTGTCTATCCAGAATCTAAGATCTTTTTATGGAGTGTGGGTTATTATTGGAAAGATCTTGGTCTTCACCTCTTTGAGAAGCTCTCTGAGTGCTTCCTTTATGAGTTTTGTCATTTTCTTGCTTGGAACAGGTGGAACAAATGCCAGCCCACAGGATACAGGGGATAAGGCAAGATCAAAGAGAACCATTCAGCTTTCTGCCACTGAATGAAGCAGGGCTGTTTGCCTGGTTGGGAAAGTCAGCAGCAAATATCTACGGGGTGACCACTAAGTGTTTCCTCATGAGAACCTCTGGTGAACACCAAATGCAAAACACCTTTCACAAAGGTGATGGGGATTTTGCTTAAGAGATACTCCTTGAAATGTTAGTGAGGGGTAACTGAGTCATGAACAGTCTGGCCCTTGCTCCCTTCTCATGGCCACTGGGAAGAGTTTGGCACCCAAGCAATTCAGTGGCAAAACAACACTCAAGAAGCAGTAGTTGCAAGCAGCACCCGAGGAAAGCAGAGTGATTAATTACTTTGGAAAGACACCCCAAGCCATAATTTCATCCAAGCCATAATTTCAGCCTTCTGGCCATAACCAGGCAGAGAGCAGGGACCAGCAGCATGAGCAGTAAGGATAGAAAAAGCACAGCCATCCTAATCTGAACCAGACCCCCAGAAACAGTCTGGGGGTGTTGGATGGTCACTCACTTTCCCCTTTAGAGCAGCAACTTTCCTGCTTTCCTGCTCATCCTGATCTCCTCATTTACATCATCCTAGTGTAGAATTGAGATGGTCTGAGGGTGCCAGTAAAGACAGAAGATCACTCTGAAATTTGGTATGGGTGACTGCCCCCCTGGATTTGGGGTTCTTTGCTTTCTGTTGTGTTTTGGAGGTTTTTTACAGGTTGTTTTCAGCTGCCTGTCAGACGGGGCCATGATGAAACCCAACATCTTGCAGAGACATAAAATGGAAAACAGGCAACTCATCAGAAAAGTAGCAGCTGTTTTACACCATCACTAAACAGAATGATCATACACTAAAAACTAGATTTAGCAGTTTAAAAGAGCTACTAACGCAAAATTAGCTGGAGACAACAGCGTGGTTTTGTAACTGACAGTGCTTCACTCCAACGCCCTAATTCATGCAAAAACAACTTAGGAAACATTAAACGGCTGATGCTGTTGGAAAGGGGAAGAGCATCCACTTTCAATGGCTGCTTAGGAAGAACATGCAGATTTATTGCATCATCTTTTTTCCTTTTACAAATTTTAAATAAGAATTGTGTCAAAACTGCCACCTCTTAAATAACAACGATGCTATAGTCCTCCTGACAGAGGGAGATACCAGCTTTTATTGGCAAGTCATTTGTATTTATGGCAGGCTGAAAGCCAGTAAAAAGGTTGTGCAGAACTTTAACTGTGAATGAGATGGAATAAGAAGGCCTTGAGCGCTTTGGATCATCAAATACTTCAATAACTGGATATGGCTGTTCATACAACCAAAAATTCATACACATGGAGAGGATATAAAGACACAATTGCCATATGAATGGAGTTTCTGTTGCCTTCTGGAAGCTCATATGTGTCTGTGATCTGTTCTAGATACAGGTGCCACACAGGCTTTCCTTTGGCCCAGCTGTGTTTCCCATTGGGGATGAAAATTTCCCTGTGTTGTAGAAATATCCTGCCCATAACCAACACATCTTATGAGAATTAGAAATCTGCCTGGCAAGAGATTCAGCTGATCACTCCACTACCAAAGGATATGTGGCTTGGCTGGAGGTCTGTCATCTTGTAACAGTGAAGGGGTGAGTCCTGATTGCTCGGGACTAGATTTAATTTGTCCTTACAATTACTAAGATAAGAACTTGGTTTATTTTCCCATGGAGTAGCTGCCCTGCTCTGGCTGAGGTGTTTCCATATCTCCCATATTGTCAAGTCCCTTCATCTGTGTGATCTGACCCTGCCTGTCTTAGGGGATTCTCCCATCAAGTCCCATCAAAATCCTGCCTGAGGGAAGAATTCAGGGCTGGATATTTGGGGGAAAAGGAAATAAACTTTTAGCCGAGGTCTGGCTATTTGTTCTTTGCAGACAAGTTGTGGCCCTGAAGAAGTCTTTTGTTTCCTAAAAAATTGTGAGGGTGGGAGCATAAAAAGTGCCCTGTACTTCAAGGGTATTTTTATTTAGATGCCGCTCTTCAAAAGACTATACATAGCAGTAAGAGTCTAGCTGCAATCTAAAGTTTGAAAAGTTGCAGACTCTTGCAGACAGTCTGATGGATCTAAATTTTTCAGCTAAACAGCATCTATGCTCTTGACCTGAGACCTAGATTTCACATTTCAGGAATTAAATGAGCATCATTTTCTAAAAGACATTAGACCAAGGCTGGGCTATCCAAAGGATGGCTTCACGATTTAGATGAAGATGTTGTCATGTCAAGGAGACTTAAAGCCTGACATATCTTTTTTCTATTGAAAAGCCAGACCTAGTTTGTTATACCACGTTGTAGCTTCTTATATGCAGGGCACAAAGGAAAAGTGGAGGCTGTTCTGTGTTTAGCATCTCTTGGAGGATTCTCTGCAGTAACAGGGCATAAGGCCCTGATGATCTGCCCTTGCCTCATATTACCCTGCTCAAAATTTATCCTCAGACTGTGCCAAAACCCTGCCAAAACATAAAGGAAATATTTGTGACCTCTGCCAAGCTGTGAATCTTCTGTGTCTGAGATACCTCAGATGCTTTGATTAGACTGAAGGAGTTCAGCCTGAAGAAAGGGAGAGTGCCAAATGAAAGGAAAGCTATTCCTTACCTGCTGCTGCAGAATTCAGGTGTGTGTCTGAGTACTCATCCTCCTTCCGTGCAGAAATCCTGTTTTTCTCAGGAAGGTGTTGAACACAGAACCTGCTTGAAAAAAAAAAAAAAAAAAAAAAGGTTAAAATAGTAAATTTTGATGCAGGAAAATAAAGGAAATCTTTCTCCCTTGAAAAGGCTGTATTCAACCTCAAGGAATTGGAGCCCACACTATTCTTTGGCTGCAAAACAAAAAAACTCAGCTTGTGGCTCACAGGTACATCCCAAAGTGGGATCTTCTGGAACCTGGGCAGCCCCTAAATCCACCCCAAAATGCAAAATACACCCCTGCTGCAGCCCTGGGGGGATGGAGACAGAACCTCTGGCGAGCAAGGCACAGAGCCAGAGGAGAGATTGACTGATCTTGTTTCAGATCAGATGGATGGCTCTAAGTGACCTGTAAAGACACTCCCTGAGCCCTGAGCCACAGCATTAAGAGCCAAGACACCACGAGCACGCCTGAAGTAGTTATTAGTGGCTGAAGTAGCACTTGTCAACTGCAACTTCAGTTTCAAGTAATAGTTTAACAGCATCAACTAGGAGAAAGGTTATATCTCAGTGTGTCTGGTGTGCTGCTGACACTTCAAGGAAATAATTGGTAGACTTAGAGCAGGGGCAGATGCCAGTGGTAGAACAGGGGAGGAGGTTGGGTACTCGAAACAGAACTTGAACAGCATCATGTGATACAAGAGCCAGGAATCCATCCTAAGCCCTGGCATAAAAAGCATGAGGAAGCTGAAACCCAGCCTGTGGAAAGAGCTGTTTTAGAGCTGTTCTCTCCATGTGAGCTCAGTTGCTGTGATTTCTAAAGACCCATCTACAGTTGCAGTTTGCAGCCCTGTCCTAGCAAGAGGAAGAAAAAACCAAAAACATGTTGCCCCCTTGAAGTTTTTTGCCAGCCTTTTGGAAAGCACATGTAATGCAATCTCCAGCTGAATTTTGGCTTCAGGACAGCCCAAGAGAGAAAAGGTGTGTGGGTGTGTGTGTGTATGCTGTGGAGAAAGCAGGAAATGGAATGAAGTGGAATGAAGAGCACTTCTGGAATGAAGTGCATAGTCTCATTTTACCTGTACTTGGGCTGTGTGACGCTAAAATGGAGAAATCAGCATGCAAATCCAGCAATCCCCTGGCTGTCATCACCTCCCAATTAGGTGCCTTTGGTTTTGGTGGGCGCTGAAGGGTTGTGTCAGCAGGTGAGGTGGGATGGATGGCTGCAGGGTGCCCTGGGCAGGAGGGTGCTCTGTGTGTGCATGTTTCTGCCTTGTGCTGGTGGCTGGAATGATCCTGGACTGCCAAAACAAAAGCACTGCTGTCACTCACTGGCCAGAGGAACAGATTCTGGTCCTGGCGACCCTAAATTTCTGCCAACATCAGTGCAACAACCACAGAATTGTAGAATATCCCTACTGGGAAGGGACCCCCATGGAAACCCAACTCCTATTTGATCCACCAGTTATCAAGGTCAAAGCATGGGTGTCTCAAGTACATAGTTTGCAACTTTCTGGTTCCTGCCCCATTCTGCTCCCCTACTGCCATTTAATAACCATTTTCTAATTGATGTTATTGATTACCAGCATTGCATGAGGCATCTCACAGGTTAGGGAGGTTTGGGAGCTGCTGAACTTGGTGCTGTTGAAATAAAAAATCTCGCTCTTGTCCCAGGAAATGCTCAGACAAAACCAAGGGAAGAGGAACTGGCAAAAGAACAGGAGAAATATCAGGAGAACGTGCACCAGCCTAAAATGCAGCTGCATCCAGGGAAGAGAAGAAGACTTCTCTGTCATGAGGAGAGAGTGTGTCTGTCCTAGCCAGCCAGCCTGGGAGGGTGGGCAGGATCCTGGCTCCTTGGATGCCCCTCTGACCTTCTCCTGATCAGCAGTGTCTCATCAGACCAAGCTAAAGAGTGAGGCAGAAGAGTGCCTTCAAAGTAAGGATTAACTTGCATTTGTTGAAACAGAAGGACTCCCATGGAGAAATATCTTCCTTCCAAGAAGGAAACCAAAACAGCAATGATTGGTCAGACCAATAAGCTGGAGAAATTAAATATCCAGAGTAATTTGGAAAAACGTACACGTGGTTCAATTTGTCCAGAAAAATAAAGAATGTTCCCACAGATAAAATCCAAGTAATTCTAAACCTCTGCAAGTGTTTCATTTGTGTGGAGCACCAGTAAATTCAGTATCTTTTCTGTTTGTTATAACTGAAACTCAGAAATACATAGACACATTCTGTAGGAAATAAATTAGAGGGAGGTGAGCCAGTTGAAAAATTCCTTACATTTGGAGCCTTAGTAACAAATATGAGTTCCAGGTCATGGTAGAAAAAAAAAAAGGGATAGAGGCAAAGTGCCTGGATTTTGTAGGGAGGAAACTGGAAATTCATGGTCAGTTTAAGATGACAGTTCACCACGAGTGAGTAAAAGTCAAGGGCACTGCATGAAGTTTTAGTTTTGGACAAAAAGAAACAAGTTCAGAGCAGACTTGTGAGTCATTGTCAGAGCATGGATGCTTGAGTTTGGATATGCAGATAAGGTTGCCAAGAGAAAGGTGGGGGAGCAGAATGGAAGAGAGTAAGAATGTTTTTTTGTGAAGCCAACAAAAAATTGTAGGGTGGGGAGATGGTGAAGAGCCTGGAGTCAACCAGAGCAGCATAAATAGAAGGCTGAGATCTGGGCGTTCAGAAGAACAGAATTTATTCTAAAACTAAGGAAAAATGGGAGAAGAATTTAAGCTGCCGTTAGCAACAACAAAGTATTTAACTGTGACTAGAATACCAATGGTACTCTGAGCTCTACACATCTGTTTCTGTTGGGTTGGATTATCTTAAGAGAGAACATGCCAAAAAAGCTTAAAAGAGCCCTGCCACCTTTGGCACCTACCCCAAATCAGGCCTGCACATCCACCCCGTGTCTCACTGAGACTGAGAGCTTCTGTCCTTGAAATGTTAAACTCATTATCTGCTAGGTGTGGACAGTCTTGTGTATCACAGAGCCAGGAAGAAATTTGACATCAGCATGTCACAGGGAGGGGGGGAGAAAACCCAACTCCTGAGAAATGTTGAGAGTGTGTGTATTTTTGGCAGAGGATACCAGCCAGACATGTCAGCTGAGAGCATCCATAGAGCTGGAAGACTGAAAATGAACTGCAGTACAACAAACACAGATTTCACCACTGAAAGCAGCACGCTGACATTTATATTAGCTCCGTTTGACATGACCTGATGAGCTGGGCTTGGCTGGAGCACAGCCTGTTGCAGCAGCCACCATCCACCCTCTGCTGGTGCAGCCTTCCAGCCCCTCTGCCCTGTGCCTTCCTCATCCTCCTGGAAAAAAAGGACATCATGATGTCCATATGCAAATATCATTGTTGGTTAGATGGTACTGCCATTATCTGTACATTAAACCATACAGACATGAGATGGAAGGAAATGTATAGGTGTTGAAAGTCTGAGCAAGTGGACCATGCTGGTGCTCTTTGCTGTGAGAAGATCAGCTCCTCAGCTCATGGGTGGAGGCAGGACTTTGACCTTGCTCTGATTGAGGGGACCTTGTGTCAAACCATGGCCACCAGTGCAAGTCAGGGGGGCTTGAAAAGCACCATCTAGAGAAGAAACATGGTGGGATCAGCAGAGGTTCCCCTCTTCCAGGCCATTCTGCACTGACCAGAGCGACTCCTTTGACCTTGGTGGAGTTACCTTGATTTGCCTGAAGGAAGCCCGGCCCGATAAATTCCATCTGGTTTATGGCTTTGTGTAGGAGAGAAAGGGAAGTTCGGACCTGCAGTCCCCAGGGCTACTTTGTGGGCTGACTGTCAAGGTGTGTTTTTTATTGTGTGTACTGCTTGTCTGATGATAGGAACTAAATTGAGAAGAGGCTCATTTCTCACAGGCCACTGAGCAACCAGAATGTGCTAACTGTCATACGTAGGAAGCACTCAGGTGTCGGGATTGTCAAGAGAGAAAGTGCAGTGCTTTTTATTAACTGCAAGAGCAATCAGCTCTGTCTGGGTCTGCTCAGTCTTGTGGAAACACATAGTTCACACTGGGCAATGCTCAGAGGCTTAACACAGGTATCAACACTGTGCCTGCGGTAATAACTTCACATCAGAGCTGTTGCATTACAGGCTGGTGCATAGTCACAACTGTGCTTGTGGTGCTTGGTAGTCTGATCCCTCAAAGGCATTTGCCAAGCCTGAATAGGCCGAAAATTGCATGACTCGATTGCATATTTAAAATGGATTTTGTCTTGCCCTCTCAGGTCTTGCGTGGTGTGTGCAAAGGCTTTATGCATCCCTCTGCCTGGCGTGGTGCCCTGCTCAGAGCCTCCTGTGCTGCTTCATCCTCGGGTCTGAGCAAAGGCAGCAGCTTCCAGGGCTTTGGGACAGAGCAACACAAAGAATTCCCCCTAAAAAGAACAAGGGTGATGAATATTCAAGGTCAGATCTGAAGGGGTTTTGAGCAACCTGGTCCAGTGTGAGATGTCTCTCTGCTCATTGTCTCTCTGGACTACATGATCTCAAGCATCCCTTCCAACCCAACCTATTCCATGGTTCTGTGGAGATGATGTCAAGACACTTGGAGCCTTTTTTTCCTCAAATTAAGTTCAGGTCCACTGAGTCCTTCCCTGGAGGATATGAAAATACCCTCAGATTTCAAGGGGAATTCAATCTGATCTTGATTTGAATTTGGCTAACTTGGATTGAACTAAAATTGGGTTAGATTCAAACACAATTTAAAAAAAAATCAAATTACACATTAGAGAAGTGTTTCTAGCAGCAGCATCAGTGCCACTTAATGGTGGCAAAAGGGTCAGATGCGGTCCAGGTTCCATTTGCATCCTGACACTGTGTCACTGATGGATTCTGTGAGAGGAGCTCAGGGAGTTGCTTTTCTCAGCTGGGACATCTCCAAACATGACCCAAAGCCATGATCACAAGCACATCCCCACAGCATGCATAGGAAAGAGGTCACATATCCCTCAAAATTTCCTCCACACTGCCTAGAGCTTATCAGAAACAGTATAAAAGGTTCAATCCCTGCCAAGGAGTCCC